AATATTTCTAAAGAAAGTTTCTATTTTAGGGGCTTATAATATAGATTTAATAGAGATTAACTTAATTTATCTAATAAGAGGAAATATTCTTATAATATTTTATATTATTAATATAAATAAATTAGGAATTAAGTCTTTTTTCTTTATTAATATTAGAGCTAATATAAAGTTTATTTAGCTTATAAAGCAATTCTTAAAAATGAAAATATAATTCCTTTCTTTATCTTATACTATATATAGTTTTAATAAAAAGCTAGCTAAGTTTACTAAAAAATATATAGAAGTTTTATTTCTAATTAATAAATGAAATATTAATATATTTATAATTATTCTAAACCTTAAAGATTATAATATTATTCTTAATAGAAAATAGACTATATATATTAATATTTTAGTTAATTATAGGAAATATAGACTTATATAGCCAAAGAATAAGCCTAAATCTATATAATTCAATTATATTATTAGTATTTCTTAATAGTAGCTAGAGAAGTAATTTAATAAAAAATATTAAAAAGATATTAATTAATAAGATTCTATTATAAGCTATTTCTGGAAATTTACTATTTTTAAGCGATTTTTTTTAGATTAATTAAAGAAAATTATATAAAACTATAAAAAAGGAACTTTTATAGCCTAATTAAAATATAATATTTAAATAAAAGCCGAAAAAGCAAAAAGAAATTATTAATAAAAAGTAAATATTAAATCTAGCTATTCTTATCTTTATAGTATTTAATTATATAGCTAAAAGAGAAAATAATATTATTAGTCGAATTTCTATTTATAAAATTAATAAAGAGCTTAAAGCTTAAAAAAGAAAAGCTATTTCTGGCCTAGAGAATTAATAACCAAAAGAAATAAAACTTTAATAGCTTTAGAAAATATTATTCCCAGAATTCAAGAAATATACCTTTATTTTTTCTAAAAAGAAATTTAATATTCTTTTTTTCTATAGATTATATAATTACAAGATTTAGATTAAAGGCTTAAAGGGAACTAAAAATATTAAATACTAATTTTTTTAGTAATAGTCTATTTAAGAACTTCTAAAAATCAAGTATTTTTTAGAAAATAATCTAGCTAAAAGCTTTATTAAAGCTAGTTAAGTTTCTTTTACTTTACTAGTTTTATTTATAAAAAAAAGCAAATAGAGGTTTATGTTTTTATATTAATTTCTACTATTTAAATAATATTATCCGGAAGAATTAATATTTTTATTTATTTATTAATAAGACTTTAAATTAATTATCTAAAGCCAAAATCTATATTAAATTAGATATTTACTAAGCTTTTTATTATATAGCTATAAATCTAGACTTTTAGAAGCTATTAATATTTTATATTTACTATAAAATATATAAATGTAATATTCTTTAGAAAGGCCTTATAAATGGCCCGGCTATATATTAATATTATATAAATAATATTTTTTTTAAATATCTAAATAACTTTTATATAATATATCTTAATAATATTCTTATTTATTTAGAAAATCTAATAAAATATAAATAGTATATACGGAAAATACTAAATTATTTATAATTTACTAGCCTCTAAATAAATATTAAGAAATCGGAATTTAAGATTATATATATAAAGTATTTGGGCTTTATTATTTTTATATCTAGTATTAAAATAAACTCTAATAAAATCGAAGTAATATATAATTAGTAATTCCTAAAAATAGTTAAGAATATATAGTTTTTTTTCGGCTTTTATAACTTTTATAAATATTTTATTAAAGAATATAAACAAATTACTAGACCTTTTATCTTATTTATAAAAAAAGAATATTTCTTTTAAATAGCCTAAATAATATTAAAAGGTTTTTAATTATCTAAAAGAAACTATAATTTCTATTCTAGTTCTATAATATTATAATCTAAATTTATTTATAATAATAGAAATAAATATATCTAAAGAAATAATTACTAGCTTATTCTTTTAATAAGATCCAGAAATAGGCCTTTAATATTCTATAGCTTATTTTTTTAAAACTATATTTTTAATAGAACTTAATTATAATATATATAATAAGGAAATATTTATTATAATACAAGTATTAGAGAAATAGAAAGCCAAGCTAGAAAGTCTTTAAAATACTTTCTTTAGAATTTATTTTAATTATTATATCTTAAAGTATTTTATAATTACTAAAAAGCCCTTTTTTTAATAAACTAAATAGGCTAAGCTTTTATTTTATTATTATTTTAAGCTTATATATTATTCTAGAAAATTAAATAAATAAATACTTTATTATAAAAATAAAATAAAGTAGATATTTAGGGCCAGATTAAAAAAAAAGCTATAAATTTAAGTATTTTTTTCTAGAAATAAGATTAATTCAGAGATTATTTATAATTTATAGCTTATAGTAATATTTTATAAAGTCGGTTTATTTAATTCGGAATTCGGTTCTAAAAACCAAATATATATTAAAAACTTTCCTGAAATATATATTTCTATTAGAAATATTTCTATTAGAAGTATAATTTCTCTAAAAGAAAATATTTTTCTAGAAGCTTTACTAGTAGCCTCTATTATAATTACTTCTATAAAAGTACTATTAGAAGCTCCTACTAAATATAATAGCTTATAACTAGTAAATAAGATCCTATAAGATAATTATATATTACCGAATCTAAAGAAACTATATATAATAGCCTAAGCTAAAAGTAATATCTGGAATTTATAAAACGGCCTCTTTTTATATTATAGAAAACTCTATATTATGAAAAACAAAATAACTTCCGGATTACTTTTATATATTATCCTAATTTATAGAATATATAATAAACTTTTTTCTAGATATTTTAGATATATAAAGTTTTATTAGCTATTTAAGAAATAATATTACTAGTTATTTATAGGCAAAGATATTAATTAATATTATAGTAATTATTATATTTATAAGAGATTATATATATCCAGAAATAAGAAGCTTAGTTTGCTTTATTTCCTTTTAATTCCTAATTATTTCTAGTAATATATTATTATAGATTTTAAAAGCTATCTAAAAGCAAAGTAGGCTATAATATAATTATTATATTTATAAATCGCTTATTTAAGTACCTAATTATAATTCTTATATAAGATATAATTATGGCCAAGTAGCTAGTATTTCTGTTTTTATTTTATATAATATACTAAATAGATATTTCAGAAATAATTATATTAAATTAGGAATTCTAATTTATATTCGATTTTTGAAGCGAATTCTATATGAGAATTAGTATAAAGCTTAAGCTCTCAATAACTAATTATTCTTAAATAGACGAATAAATAGAGATTATTAATTAATATTTTAATTAGAGATTATATTCATATATTAACTATTACTAAAATAATTAGAATAAATGAATTATTATAATTAATTATTAATAAGCCTTTCTTTAATATAAAACTATTAGCTAGTTTCTATTTATAATTAAAAAGAGCTATAAGCCTTATATTTCTCTAAACTAGAACCTTTCTATTAAAGCTAGCTTACCTAAAAAGAAGCTAAATAGGAATAAAGCTAAAGTATTAATAAATTAATTATATGAATTATAGTAATTTACCTAAGGTTATATAAAATAAATATAAGAATAATATATAGTATAAGCTAATAAATACTACTATCTAATTAATTTCAAAGTCGGAAATAAAGTATAAGTTATTATAAAGTATTAGAAATCTAATTATTTAAGCCAGAAGCTAGGAAACTAAATAAAGGACCTATTTGAGATTCTAGAATAATATAGCTATTCGTTTCTTCTAAAATTACTAGAAATCATAAAAATATATCTAGTTTTTTATATAGAGAAGCTATAAAAGAACCCTTAGAATCTCCTATTAAATTAAATAAACCCGGAACCGCCTCTATTAATATTAAAGAATAGTAAATAAAAGTATAGTATTAAATAGGTTATTATAGTTAAGCTAGTAAAAAATAAGCTAAAGTATAGAATTTAGTAAATTAGTTAGAATAAGAATCTAGTATAATATTTAGCTTTAGTATTAAGTAATAGCCCTCTAGTTTTATAAAGTTTCTATAATAATAATATTAATATATTAGAACCTTTCTAAAACCTATAATACTAGCTAGATTATATAAAAAATAATATTTGTCTAGAATTATATAGAAATAATAATAAATTCTCTTAAGTTATATATTAAAGGCATTTGTCTTTTATATATAATATCTATATCCGAGATATTAGTTTATTTTAGGAAGGGAAATAATACAAAATTAAATGAATTAATGGCTTTTATAAAGCTCGGAAATAAGCTTATTCCAAAAGAGGAAATAATATTATAATTTCCAGATATCTGGCCAAATGTCTTTTAGATATATATAATATGGCTACTTTACTAAGAAAATATACTTGGAATATACTAGAGATATTTAGAAGACTAAGCCCCTTCGGAACTAGTATACTATAGGGTATATATATTCCCTTATAGCCTCCTGTATTCTAGTTTTCCCTTTCTTAGCTTTAAATCGTCTTTATAAGAAACCTTTTATCTTGCTTTCCAAGCCCTAAATACTATACCCGTAATAGAAACTATTTAGTAATAAGAAAAAGAATATAATTAATTATATTATTAATTATTTTAATTATGCTACTAATTGCTACTTCTGCTATTTCTCCTATTTAATTGCGACTATTAAAGTCTTTTTAAAATTCGGAATATTTAAGAAAAGGTCCTATTACGAAATAATATAGCTCCAAATTTTAAAGACACTTAGAGAGGAAAGGGATATAGTCCGGGAGTTACGCCGGTGCGATGCGAGGGTCTATATGTTTTAGTACTTAGTAATGTATATTAGCCTAGATAAAATTTACTATATTTACGCCCGGGCTCGCTCTATTTTACTTAGCCACGATTCTCAGGCTTAATCACGTATGTGGCGTATAATAGTCACGCGTGTGGCGTAAGAGCAGGTTTCTCGAACATTCTATCGGCAGGTGGCAGCACGCTGGTGCCTGGGCACTAGAGCGCCGTCACTCGTCTCCTACATCACCATCGCGACGGCGGGATAATATGGACAGAGCCAGTCAAGTCCTAGCGCAAGGCGTACCTCCTGGCGTGCCTAGATCATACCGTGCTCTTGCAGATCATGGCAACGTCCCTCATTCTACACTCCATCATCGGAAAGAAAACGTTACAGCTTCAACAGTAGTCAAGACCAGCCCAGCTTCTCACAGTCCCTTATCTTTACAGACAGCTGTGCTTCCACGGCCTCTACTACTACTTCCTCGAAGAAATACTTAGACGGTGGCCACTTAAAGTCTAGTAGCTGGCTAAGAGACCCACCAGAATATTGGCAATTTAAATCTTATTATATTGTTACAAGTCCTGCAGTCGGACTCAGTACAATATTGCAGTCTGCCATTCAGGCTGACCGAACGTGGCCTCTCCGTACATCCACCCGTCAACGAAGCAGAGACCCACGAACAAGAAAGCAGCCTTTCCATCTCTCATAACACGTCGTAGAATAGCAGGTGCCTGACAACCCGCAAGTACGTATACCTCGTCAAAAGGCTGAACATCATGCGGTCCGAGTGCTGGCTCGCATTTGGCCGTACAAAAGAACCGATGTTTCTCGGCATTGAGTTTAAGCGCTCTATAGTGATAGTTTCCACGGCTACCGTCGCCAGCCTGCTTATCTAAGTCAAGATCTTGGCTTTCTCCAGTTTCGTTCCAGCTTCTCCACCATCGATTTATATCGTCCAGTCTTCTCCGAGGAAGTTGTTTCCTTTTGTGTAGCCAATCTCTCTGGATATCTCTGTCCATGAAGGCAGCTCTCCAAAATCTGTCAGTGTTGAGAGGATCTGTGTAGTCTTCGTAGAGCCGCTGCCATTCAGATATGTGGCTGAGCACCATATTAGAATGTAATCTGTCATGAGACACGCGTCTGGCACAAGCACCCACTGTTCCTATTGGGATTGCCTTGATCGCTAGACTTGGGCCTGCCAGTTCAAGCACGAGCCGAATCCCTTCGAAGCGTGACTGGCCGGATGCATCGTAGAGCACCCATCGATGGTGGTCGTTATCACCATTAGGAAGCTGGTTGCTGAGATCGATAGACCATGACGGAAACTCGCTTCCTTTGACACCGATTGCACTACTGAGCTTTTCAAGACTGTAGCTATTGGTATAAAGTAACTTGGTGCATTGACCAAATATTTCAGCAGCGGTGTATGAGTAGTCATAATCGCGGATCCAGATATCTTGCCACTCTTGAGGTAGCAGACCTAGTATTCCAAAGAAATGATCTCGTGGATCTGTAGCTTTCCGCGCCTGGGTTGAACTGATGGCTTCTTCAAGAGTCAGCCATTGCGATTCCAGTTCTGTAAACCTCTCACGATGGTCATGCAGAGTGATAGCTCGAATATACTGATTAAACGGAAAGCTCTGAAACTCTCCAAGAAAGAGTCTTCCTAGGTCCTTGCAACATCCATGACGGTGCTTTATCATGGAATCAATGCCATTCAGCAGCCTTGAAATGCGGAATGAGTATGGATGAGCATGTATCAAAGAATCGACCCTGGGCAAGACGGCTTCTTGCAGAGTCCATACTCGAGTCCACCACCTACGTGAAAGCAACCATCGTATGCAATCAAGAATCGTAAGCCAATGCCTGTTCATCGCAAATCGATCGCCTTTGCTGACATTGTGAGAGACGAAGAATATTGGGAACTCGTGCAGATGCATCCCATCTGCGGCTCTGTCCAGTACATCCAGTGTCTGAGATAGGAGTTCTTCACAGGATTGTTTCTCTGAATAAAACAGTTCATGTTGTTGTTCCGGTTTGCCGCCCGCTTTTAGAAAATGTCTCAGATCGTCACGACAGATTCGTTCTGCCTCAGTCCATTGGTGTGGTGTCATTTCACGCGCTCGGATATACTTGCCCGAGTCGCATATAATTTCACTGGACCATGAGTGCGAAAAGTATCCAAACCAGATATGGGCCTCGTTTGCTTGACGATAGATTCTGGCCATCAATCGTAGCTGAACAATTTTTTCTTTATCGTCCTGTTGATTAATGCAAACAGCATCAACCCAGAGGAGCCGATCGGCGATTTGGAGCCTTAAGCAATGCAAGAAATCGACCAAATTCTCTGTTGCATTGAAGGTCTCACCACTAACAGTGATGGGCTTGGTTTCCGCCGGATCTCCCCAAACGTAAGAAAGGCTTTCGTACTCTGGGTCATCATCCAAGTCCGCAACCTGCAAGCTGCAGGTAATCGGACTATCGTTGGTTCCCTTGTGCAACTTAAGGATCCTGATGCAGGGCCTACGAGTATCTAACGGCGTCTCCAGCCATGGCATCTGCTCCATCATGGCTAAGTCGAAGTCATTGTCGGAGTCGTCGATCATTTCCATCACTTACGTGACTGATTTAGCGGTTTTAGGCGAACCACAGGCTTTTATAGCAGTTTGGCAAGCTCGTATGGCTATTGAAGATAATAGCTCAATCCTCCTGACAACTACTGTATTGCAACGAAATGATGAGAAAGGAAAGGATCGAGCAGGATTGACGCCTAAAACCCATCTTTCAGCCTCGCCTGGCGATAGTAGGGTGTGAGATCCGACTAACCACGATAGGACTAGTGCATTCAGAAAATGTGAGTCTGATTGCCTGATCGCAAGACTCTTCAGCCACAACAGGGCTGTAAAGGCGGCGGTGTTGTTCTTAAAAGCAGCGGGCTCTTTGCAGCAGAGCAGTTGTAGACGAGAGCTGTTTCCACAGCCCAGTCGTCATTTTCTCCTGGACACTCGCCTCTTGAATAAAAATGAAGTAAAACACTTGCAAACTACGTTAAGTAAATTACTTTATTACTGTACTCACCCTGCCAGAGATTCTAGTTATAAGAATATTATTAAGGTATTAAGAATTCGTATATAGTATAATTATAACGGTATAAGCTTTTACAGGCTACTTAAAGAGGCATATAGTAGTGCATTTTAAGTAGACTAATAGGTCTACTTATTGGCCTATATATAAAGGAGAATCAAAAGATAAAGAAGGAAACAGAGAGTAGTTCCTAGAACTCCTATTTGAGTACTTATAAAATTATAGTCCGTTTCAGCCCCAATGCCCCTAATAGTAGGCTAAGCGAGGCTCGGCTAAGCACGTGCCGTTATAATAATAAGATCAGGTATAAAGATAATTAGAGTATAATTAATAAAGCTTCTATAAAAGCTCTCTTAGATATATATATATATAATTATAAATAAAAATTAGTTATAACTTAATATTCGGAAACTCTGAGCCTTATAATATTAATTTATATTGAGATTTTCGTAGTATATTTATTTACTAGAGAATTCTTGCTATATAGAGATATTAGTTAGTAGCTACAAATTTCATTAAAATTTTACCGAAGTTACTATAACTATACCTGTTATATAGTAACTGTATTCCAGTTACATATAGACTTACGTAACTACATTTACTTATATTTAAGCTCTGGCTACTCGTATTATATTTCCTTTCTTTTCTTTATTAAATATATACTATTTATACCTGTATTTACTATAATAAATAATAGTAATACTTATTAATTCGATTTAATTAGAAGTTTCTTTACTTTTAATTACCTGCGAATTTATTTATATCTCTAATAGAATTCTCTAAAGCTTTAATTCAATTAGTTAATCTTTTAATTAAGCCATTAACTAGAAATTATTAATTTAGCTAATATAGCCTATTTATTAATATTACTACTATAATATTATTATATCTCCCAAAGCTTCTATTACTAAATTAAAGACTCTCGAATATTAACCTATAATTTTCCCTAATCCTAAGGAATTAGGGCTATTAGAATAGCTAGCTATAGCTATTCCTGGCCAAGAAATTAGTATTCAAATACTATAATAAATAAATAATAAAGTATTTAATAAATATTAGTTAAATACTATTAATTCAATTACTAAATCTATTATTAATCGAGCTATTTAGGACAAGTTAATTTCCTTTATATAAGATATAATTATAAACTAGCTATTATAATTCGCGATTTTAAACTATATCTCCTATTCTAGCTTCTTCTACTATTAAATAGTAGCTACTATTAGCTTTTTAATAGCTTTTTCATTTTTTAGATAAATTCAAATATCCTTAATTTAATTATTAATTGCCTTTTCTTTTTTCTTTTAAACTCGAAAGTATTAGCCTCTTTAAATTATTTATTTATATATATCTGCCTGAGATACTAATTTATAAAGGCAAATACCTAATTTACTATAATATTTTTAACTTTACTAATATCTTATAACTAAATACTAAAAATATTTATATAAATAAATAAATAATAGATATATTATTTATAGGGTTTTACTATAATTTAATAAATTATAAAACTATTAGATTTATAAAAACGTCTCTTAAAATAGTTATTTTTAGAAATTATTTCTCAGATTTTTATTAACTAATTTAAGATACTAGCTTCTATTATTCTTAATTAGATTAATAAGATTTATTTTATATATTTTCAAATATATAATAAAATATATATTTTAGAATATCTAATTATCTGCTTTTATTTTATTAAATATACCGGTTTTATATTCGAATTTCATATTATTCTAATAATTTAAAATATACTAGATTCTCAAATTAGGCTAGTTTTAGATACTTTATTAATTAATATTACTAAAGCCTAATTAATAGTAAATACGAATTCCAAATAATTAATTATATATAATCTAGTAATTAGATTTAAGATACTACTAGTTCTAGCTTTAATAATATTACTAAAACCTTTTATTTTCTTTTTATTAAACCCGAAATTCTCTAGTTTCTATATTTCTTATTTATATATTCCTGTTTTAAAATAGTTTAATAATAAGATATATATAAAAATAGTAGTCGGAAATAGAATATATTAGAATTCCTATAGCTAGAATAAGTATTTGTAATATAAAAATAACCTAATAGAATTATCTAATTAGAATAAAAAGATTAGATAAGGTTATTTTTTAGGTTTTAAATATAATTAGGCTATTTTTAAACTTTTTAAATAGAAATTATTTAATTTTTTATTCTTTTTATAAAGTTAACTTATATATATATATAGAAAACCACGTGATTCTTTCTTTTTAGGAAATATATATTATATAGTAATTATACTCTAATTATATATAAGCTTATATAATTATATTTACTTATATTTAAATTCTAGCTATTTATATTATATTATATTTTCTCTTTTTATTAAATATATACTATTTATATTCGTATTTATTATAATAATACCGCTATTAACTAGGATCCTTAATTATTTAATTAAAGGAAATATTAGCCTATATAATAATAGTATATAATATAGCGTGTTTTGGCTATTATAATACTAAAAATAATCTTTTAATATTATAATAAAACTCAGAAATTTATATTTAATTATTTTATAAATTTAAAAAATAAAATAAGTTTAATAATAATATTATAATATAAGGCTTTTTATAATTCAAATAAATAGTAATAATATAATTAAAATTTTCGGAATTAATAAGCCAGAAATATTTAAGAAAAATATATAATATAACTAAAGTAAAAATATATTAAAATTTTAATATATTTATAGATTTCGAGTTATTTAAATTCGAAGTATTTATAAATTATCTTATTATAGAATGCGTTTTATTATATAGAAACAGATATTATTATTAAAAGTTACTAATTTTAATATTTATTTTTTTATAGAAGTTTTAAAAAAATATAGAATTTTCTTAAGCTATTTTTTAGAAATAAAGATTCTATTAATAGTTAGGCTTTCTAATACCTTAAATCTAATATATTTTATAATTTGTTTAATTATTTTTTTGGAAAAAATAATTTATTATTATTAATAATTAAAGATAATAATTAAAGATTTATTATAAGAAATAATATTTTATTTCTTTATTCTCGAATTTAAAATTTACTAATTCTACTAATTTAAGAAATTTCTAATAATATACTAGTTTTTAATTATTATTAAAATACATATTATATATCTGGACTTTAAATAACTTAATATTCTTAAATAATAGAATATATTCTAGGGTTTCTATTATATTTATAAGTATTATATAAAAAATCCGAAAAGTTTTTCTTGAATTATTATATATAATAATAGTTTTATATTTAGTAAAAACTCGAAGGCCTTTAATAAGAATTAAAGTAAATTAAATTAGAGAAAATAAAGTCCCAAGATTATCTTATTAATCTAATTTAATAAAAATTCTTTAGAAGAAATAATAGAATTTATTATCTAAAATATTATTAACTTTATATAAATTTCTTTAAGAAATATTAACTAGTATTATATAAAAACATTTTTTAATAAAGATATTGTAACGGCAGGAACAGAGCAATGAAACGAGGCTCAAAGATTAATGATTTCCTATGTCTTGAGAATTTAAAGCTAAGGAGGAGGAGTGAGGTGTGGCAGTGGATAAGTAGGTATGGCCAAGGCCACTAAAACGCCGAGCTTTGGAAGCGAGCTTAGTTTGAACTATAGCTTGGAACCTTAGCTAAAACCAACCCCTTTGGCTGAAACCAACTATGTAATACTAGCCGTTATAGATATATTAATTATTATTATAAATTTCTTTGTAATTTATTAGTAAATTACAAGTATTTTTAATAAATAACTCTTTTATTATTATATAAATAAGCTTTAATATTAGAAAGATTAAAAATATAAATATTTTATAATATATTAAAAATTAAAAGAAAGTATAAAAGGAAATAAGATTAATGAATTTAATAATAATAGTTATAATAATATATAGTTCTAAAAGAAAAGTAATATTTAAAATAGTTTAAAAACAGCCTCTTTTATATAAATACTATAAAGCCAAAATTAGTTTTAGAACTATTTCTAGAATATTATATATGATTTTATTTTAGGGCTTATTAAATATATTATTATACTAGTTATTATATAATATGAAATTAATTAAAAATTACTAATATAAATTATATAAGTAATAAAGTTTTTATATTAAATATAAATGAATTAAGTTAATAATTTTTAATAATAGAAATATTAATATAAGCCGTTTTTAGATTTTTTGTTTTTAGAGAAATATAATAATAGAATTAATATAATAGTTAAAGATATAAAGTTTAAAAAATCTTATATATTAGAAAATACTAAGCTATAAAATAAAATAGAAAAAATATTTTAATCTTTAGTATTATTTTACTCAAGTAATTCTGGCTTAGCTTTATTTTATATCTATTTCTAATATTCTATTTTTAGTAAATTATATTCTTATACTAGCTATTATATTACTTTTTCCTAAAGAAAAGTTTAAATACCCTTATTTATGAAATTATTTAGTTATAATAAAGATAAGAAAAGAGAAATAATAACTATTAATTCTATTTTATCTAGTTCCGGCCGCTTATTTATAATTGAAATATAGTTTTAATTCTATTAAAATAATCCAGTTTCTAGTATTATGCTCTGCCGCTTCACTAGTAAAT